CAAATGCCTCACAAACGCCGGCCACTATAGACTTGAATAGGAGGCTTCAACTCCTCCTGACTCGACCAGAGGCATCCGTTTTGCCGCGACGCTAACACTTCCTGTGAACAGCACTATGTGCTGCAATGTGCAGAATTTTCCCAGGCGTTTGGAAAGCGGTAAAAACGCTTCCCAAACGCCTGCCGCCTGCTGACAACACTAGTAGCCCAGGACAGATGAATATAGTGTGTATTTATTAATCCATAGGACACACAAAAATAATGATTAAGCACGAGCTCGTGTGAAACGCGTTAACAAGTCCTGTATTCGTGTCCTATGGATCAATAAATATACACTATAGTCATCAATCCTCCGGTGTGCGGCTGACCCTTCTTCCTGTTGCATCGTCTGTGGTGGCGAGCCAGAGCCTGCACCTGCGTGGATTGATCTGGATTGTTTGCCTGAGCGGTATACCTTTTTTTTTGTTTTTTGTGAACGTAGCCTAACTTGAATATGTTTTGGTAAATACCTGAAAATATCTAAAATTGTGTCCAAGTATATATGGATCTAACTGTATATATTAATAGTAAGTAAAAACCACACAGTGCAGCGCTAGATGAATGAATAAATATAAACCACCTAATTGATAATAGAACCGCAGATAAGATAAAATATGTCCAAGGGATGTTCAAAACGGGTAATCGTGGTAACAAAGTGTCCAGTGCAATAAAGTTCATTAAGGGTGACAAGTATCTTAACTATCTTATCTTCATGTGAGCAGATGTGGTCTGGTGATGGGTAAAAATGGTACAGAAAACTCCTGTAACGATGGGTTGTCACTCGGGGGTCTGGTCAGAAGGCTTCCCTCCTTTTTAAATCTTGACTGGTCCCCTGTGGTCCTGGGAGGAGGCTCAGTAGCTCGGTGTGGGGCAAAAAACAGAGATGCCCATAGTGTAGTAGGTTTAAAAAATGGTTTATTATGAAATTAATAAAATTATATGAACACCAGAGCATACAGGTAATTAAGGCAGGTTATAAGGACATGAAAAACCGCTCACATGACTATAAAGAGGCAGCCATCCAGGTTGCTTATACACTATACATGTACAGTGGGGATCGAAAGTTTGGGCACCCCAGCTAAAAATTTGTATTAATGTGCATAAAGAAGCCAAGGAAAGATGGAAAAATCTCCAAAAGGCATCAAATTACAGATTAGACATTCTTATAATATGTCAACAAAAGTTAGATTTTATTTCCATCATTTACACTTTCAAAATAACAGAAAACAAAAAAATGACGTCTTCAAAAGTCTGGGCACCATGCAGAATTTATAGCATGCACTGCCCCCTTTGCAAAGCTGAGACCTGCCAGTGTCATGGATTGTTCTCAATCATCGTCTGGGAAGACCAGGTTATGTCAATCTCAAAGGTTTTAAATGCCCAGACTCATCTGACCTTGCTCCAACAATCAGCACCATGGGTTCTTCTAAGCAGTTGTCTAGAAAACTGAAACTGAAAATAGTTGACACTCACAAAGCTGGAGAAGGCTATAAGAAGATAGCAAAGCGTTTTCAGATGTCAATATCCTCTGTTCGGAATGTAATTAAGAAATGGCAGTCATCTGGAACAGTGGAAGTTAAAGCAAGATCTGGAAGACCAAGAAAAATATCAGACAGAACAGCTCGCAGGATTGTGAGAAAAACAATTCAAAACCCATGTTTGACTGCACGATCCCTCCAGAAAGATCTGGCAGACACTGGAGTTGTGGTACACTATTCCACTATAAAGAGATACTTGTACAAATATGGTCTTCATGGAAGAGTCATCAGAAGAAAACCTCTTCTACGTCCTCACCACAAAAATCATCGTTCGAACTTTGCAAATGAATATATAGACACAAGCCTGATGCATTTTGGAAACAAGTTCTGTGGACCGATGTTAAAATTGAACTTTTTGGCCGGAATGAGCAAAGGTACGTTTGGAGAAGAAGGGGCACAGAATTTAATGACAAGAACCTCTGTCCAACTGTTAAGCATGGGGTTGGATCAATCATGCTTTGGGGTTGTGTTGCAGCCAGTGGCACAGGGAACATCTCACGAGTAGAAGGAAAAATGGATTCAATAAAATTTCAGCAAAGTTTGGATGGTAACTTGATGCCATCTGTGAAAAAGCTGAAGTTAAAGAGAGGATGGCTTCTACAAATGGATAATGATTCTAAACACACCTCGAAATCCACAGGGGATTACATCAAGAGGCGTAAACTGAAGGTTTTGCCATGGCCTTCACAATCTCCTGACCTCAACATAATTGAAAATCTATGGATAGACCTTAAAAGAGCAGTGCATGACAGACAGCCCAGAAATCTCAAAGAACTGGAAGACTTTTGTAAGGAAGAATGGGCAAAGATACCTCAAACAAGAATTGAAAGACTCTTGGCTGGCTACAAAAAGTGTTTACAAGCTGTGTTACTTGCCAAAGGGGGCAGTACAAGATATTAACTCTGCAGGGTGCCCAAACTTTTGCAGACGCCATTTTTTTTGTTTTCGGTTATTTTGAAAGTGTAAATGATGGAAATAAAATCTGTCTTTTGTTGACATATTATAAGAATGTCTAATCTGTAATTTGATGCCTTTTGGAGATTTTTCCATCTTTCCTTGGCTTCTTTATGCACATTAATACAAATTTTTAGCTGGGGTGCCCAAACTTTCGATCCCCACTGTATTAGCACTAACCAGCTGGTTTGTTATGATGGTCGCCGGACCTCCGTGATCCGGTGGCGTGACGTCACTGCGTACAAGGGCTCCTCTTAGACGCGTTCCGTATCCACAGACGTGTTTTGTATCCACATACGTCATCAGTAGGGGTGTTGCCAAGGTCGCACAATATTAAATTGCCTATCTTACATATTGTGGTATTTCTGGCTATGCTGAATCTTCACACTGCTTCCTCTTACAGTTCTCTTTTACTGAAACTGCTCAATTCAGAAGTCCGCTAGAAATGTTGTTCCTGACATGGGACATTTGTGTGATGAGCCGGTTTTTGGCAGGTCCTGATTATGATCTGGCATGTCATACTACTGGTCAGTGGATGACTAAGCTACACTCTCACCTTTGCTCTCTGTCATATGATCTCTGGAATTTCTGTGCAGAAATGTGACTATTATCACTAACATCTGTACATTGCTGTCTGTGCTCTTGGACTGGCTCAGTCATTGTGCTTGGGCAGTGCCGCTTCCTGCCCATCTTGTTTGGACACATGCCTAAGCAAATTCTGCAAAAAATGAATGAAAGTATCGTCATCCATAGACTTTGTAGTTTACGAATTACAGGAAATGTTTTTTTACATAACTTGTGGAATTTAAAAAATAAAAGCAGAACTGCGATATAACACTTTTTTTAAAAGCATGACAGAACAGATGATACACAAGCAGGTGAACCGGAAAGGCAAGTCGCATAACAAGACTATGCTAGCAGCCCACATGCTAAAACAAGCTTGGCAATGGGGAGGGTTGGGAGCTTGCGTTCTTAAAGTACAAAGAAACGTTTGTTTATTTTTTCTTCTTTTTAACTTTATTAAAATTTCACAAAATGACAGTTCAGTGCTGTGTTCTCAGCTGTGATGCAGCAATGACATGAGGTCAGGTGTCTTGTGAAAAATGCTGCAAGTCTTCATTCTTTCACAACACACTGCAGTCTCGAGGTAGCATTGTAATGTGACCTGTGCCCAAGTATCAAGACCATATGGGGGTTATTTACTAAAGCTGGAGAGTGCAAAATCAGGCTCACTTCTGCTTAGAAACCAGTCTGCTTTTAACCTCAGCGTGTTCCATTAAGCTTTGGCAATAGTACCTGGGAGCTGATTGGTTTCTATGCAGAAGTGAGCCTGATTTTGCACTCTCCAGCTATATAAATAAGCCCCCATGTGTCCGTTAACTTTGAATAATCTGTGTACCCAAATTTTACATTAATACATTTATTTTTTTTTTACATTTTATTTTACATTTTTTTTGTCCACACTCCTAATAAAAAAAAAAAAAATCATAATGGTATTCATTAAAACATGGTACCACATTAACCACTTGACTTGCAGAAGGTTTTATAACTTTCTTGGTTGGAACATTTTTGCTATTCAGCGCTGCTCTATGTTAAATGACAGTTGCTCGGTCATGCAGCACTGTACCCAAATTAAATTTATCATTTTTTTTCACACAAATAGAGCTTTCTTTTGGTGTTATTTGACCACCACTGTTTTTTGCTATATAAATGATAAAAGAACAAACAAACAATTTTGGGGGGAAAAAACCCCAATGTTTTCTGCTTTCTGTTATAGGACCTATTTAGGCCAAAATGTTTTCTGCTACATGTCTTTGGTAAAAAAAAAACAAGCAAGCAAGTGCTGGTTTGTGTGTGTGTGTGTGTGTGTGTGTTTTACAAAATCTGTGAAAAGTGTGGCATGCATTTGTATTCAGCCCCCTGGAGGCAATACTTTGCAGAACCACCTTTTGCAGCAAATACAGTTGCAAGTCTTTTGTATGTCCCTACCAGCTTTACAAATCTAGACTGAAATTTTTGCCCATTCTTCCTTGCAAAATAGCTCAAGCTCTGTCAGATTGGATGGAGAGCGTCTGTGGACAGCTATTTTCAAGTCTTGCCACATATTCTCAATTGGATTTAAGTCTGGGCTTTGATTAGGCCATTCTAACACATGAATATGCTTTGATCTAAACCATTCCATTGTAGCTCTGGCTCTATGTTTAGGGTCGTCGTCCTGCTGGAAGGTGAACCTCCGCCCCAGTCTCAAGTCTTTTGCAGACTTTAACCACCTTCTACCCGCCCTATAAGTACAATGACGGGTGGAAGGTGGTTCTCTTGTTCTGATAGGACATCATATGACGTCCTACCATTCTCACTGTGCATGCGCGGCTCAGGGAGTGTGCAGTGTGGTAAATGCCAGTGCGCTGTGTCCCTCGGACACAACGGATCACGGAAAGAGCCGAAGATGTCGGCTCGGTCATGTGATCAGCTGTGTCCAATCACAGCTGATCACATGTAAACGGAAATGCCGGTTATCGGCATTACTCTCCTCTTGAGCTGTCACGCTGACAGCTCGAGAGGAGAGCCGGTAATCGGCTTTCCGCGGAGGGGACATGTACACTGATCATCAAGGCACTGATGATCAGTGTGCCCTGATGATCAGTGTGACCCCAGAAGTGCCAGTGCCCATCAGTGCTACATCAATGCCACATATCAGTGCATACCAATGCACATCAATGCCACATATCAGTGCCCATCTGAGCTGCCTTTCAATGTCACCCATCAGTGCCACCTATCAGTGCTGCCAATCAGTGCCAGTCAGTGTCGCCTATCAGTGCGTCAGTGCCGCCTATCAGTGCCATATATCAGTGTCATGTATCAGTGCTGCCTTTCAGTGCCCATCAGTGATGCCTGTCAATGCCCCTCAGTGCAACCTACCAGTGCCTCCTCATCAGTGCCACCTATCAGTGTCCATCAGTGCAGCCTATCAGTGCCCATCACTGCAGCCTCATTAGCGCACATCAGTGAAGGAGAAAAATCACTTATTTACAAAATTATATAACAAAAACTAAGAAAAAACATTTTTTTTTCAAAATTTTCTGTGGTTTTTGGTTTGTTTAAGAAAAAATAAAAATCCCAGAGGTGATTAAATACCACCAAAAGAAAGCTTTATCTGTCTCAAAAAAATGATAAAAATTTCATATGGGTACAGTGTTGCATGGCCGTGCAATTGTCATTGAAAGTGTGACAGCGCTGGAAATTGGCCTGGGCAGGAAGGGGGTATAAGTGCCTTGTAGGCTAGTGGTTAAATGGTTTTCATCTAAGATTGCCCTGAATTGGGCTCCATCCATCTTCCCATCAACTTTGACCAGCTTCCATGTCCCTGCTGAAGAAAAGTATCCCCACAACATGATGCCACCACCACCATGTTTCACAGTGGGGATGGTGTGTTCAGGGTGATGTGCAGAGTTTTCTGCCACACATAGTTTTTTTGTTTTTAGGCCAAAAAGTTCAAGTTTGGTCTCATCTGACCAGAGCACCTTCTTCCACATGTTTGCTGTGTCCCCCACATTGTTTCCTGCAAATGAGACTATTTATGGATTTCACTCAGCAATGGCTTTATTCTTGCCACTCTTCCATAAAGGCCAGATTTGTGGAGTGCACAACTAATAGTTGTCCTGTGGACAGATTCTCCCACCTGAGCTGTGGATCTCTACAGCTCCTGCAGAGTTACCACGGGCGTCTTGGCTGTGACTAATGTTCTCCTTGCCCGGCCCTGTCAGTTTAGGTCCGTGTTTCTCAACTCCAGTCCTCATGGACCCCCAACAGGTCATGTTTTCAGGATTTCCATTATTTTGCACAGGTGATTTGATCAGTTTCACTGCCTTAGTAATTACCACAGCTGTTTCATCTGAGGGAAATCCTAAAAACATTACCTGTTGGGGGTCCATGAGGACTGGAGTTGAGAAACACTGGTTTAGGTGGACGGCCATGTCTTGGTAGGTTTGCAGTTGTGCCAAATGGAACATTTCAAGGGTATGAATACTTTTTCAAGGCATTGTATATACAGTGCTCAGCATAAATGAGTACACCCCAACAGATTTGTCAGAAAACCTTTATTTTCCTTTCGGAATCAACATTATTTATTTATACTTCAGAATACTCCCATAAATGTGGGCCATTGCATGCAAGATTTGTTAATTTGCACACACAAAGTATTTTTCTTTAAATTCATTCAAGACCACGTTGCAAAAATGAATACACCCCAATGAAAGTCTTAGGAGAAAAGCTACATTTTAGACCACAAAATCCTAATTAACAAGAATTCAACTACAAATGAGTCTAATTATTCATTAAAATTGTGTTGTAAATGTTATGTCTACCTTAATTTTGTAAAGCACCATGCAAACTGTTGGCGCTATATAAATCTTGTATAATAAGTCATTAAACGGATGTCCAGCAGACAGTTGATAAAAAAGAAAACTCCTTCCCATTTCTTGCTGTCAGCTATGTCACCACATGGAAGAAATGTCACAAGGAAGAAAGAGAAAATACATAATTCATACAGAACTTAATTTCTTTATACAGGAAAGGTGAAGGCTACAAGATGATCAGCAAAGCTTTACTTATCAGTCAGAATACTGTAGCAAAGGTGATACAAAAATGTAACAAACTTGGAACTGCATCCATCTCACAGAGACGTCCAGGCTGTCCGCAGAAGTTAATACCTCGACAGGAGTGTCTTCTGATCAGAAGGGTTGAAGAAAATCGCCATGCAAGTTCACTGCTGTTGAATAAAGTAGAAAGCCAAACTGATGTGATTGTGTCCCATGACACAATACAGTTTACATTGTAGAGTAATGGCATACATGGGTGTTGTCCAGGAAGGAGGTATCTCCTAAAGCCCATGCACAAAAAAGCCCACCTAGAATTTGCCAGGCCCATGCTTAAAAACAAAGACTACTGGGACTCTGTACTCTGAAGTGATGAGACCGCATTAAATGTTTTTGGAACTGATGGCTTCAAAACTATGGCATTGCAAAGGTGACGAGTATAAAGAAATATGACAGTTCCTACAGTGAATAATGGTGGTGGCAGTGTCCTTCTGTGGGGCTGCATGAGTGCTGCTGGTGTCGGGGAGCTGCATTTCATTGATGATATAAATTCACAGATGTATTGCTCTATATTGAAAGAGAAGGTGCTACTATCACTCCGTGCCCTTGGTCGTCGCACACTTTTCCAGCATGACAATGATCCAAACCACACATCTAAGGCCACGGTTGCATTTCTGTAGAAGAACAGGGTGAAAGTGATTTGAGTGACCACATATGTCTCCTGATGTGAACCCAATTGAACACCTATGGGGAATTCTGAAGAGACAAGTTGAGCATCACTCCCCATCCAGTATCCAGGCTCTAAAAGAGGTCGTTCTTGAAAAATGGAAAAAGATGTTTGCAATATATCACCAACTTGTTTATTCCATGCCTAGAAGATATGATGTTGTCCTTACAAATCATGGAGGTCATACAAAATACTAGATGGAGTAGTTTTTGAGGGATGTATTCATTTTTGCATCAACTAATTTAAGTAAAACTGAAGAGTTTGTAATGTAAGTTATATTATTAACCTTACGTCCATGTAATGCGCTAAACAAATGTTCTATAAAACTGTTTTATCAAAATTTTGGAAATTGTTCTTGTGTTTTTAGATATTGATTAAAATCAAGAGGGGTGTACTCATTTATGCTGAGCAGTGTGTGTGTATATGTCCTATTTATCTATCTATCTATCTATCTATCTATCTATCTATCTATCTATCTATCTATATATCCTTTTTGGAAAGTAGGCAGTCTGAGGTATTTAGTAAGAGGCATGGCAAGTTTTCTGAAATTGTAATTTTTTTGACACCTTCAATCTACCGCTTGCTAACTGTAGATTTACTGCTAACGGGTGGCAGCTACAGGCTCAGCAACATACTGGTATGTCACTGGCGTGCCCTCCTGGGGCGTGCAAATGCGCAAACAACCTGTGACAGCTGTGTCCATTGGACACTGTGGATCACAGAGATTGGTAGCCAGCAACTGTGAGCAGCTTGGGTATCATAGTGATCACATGATTACAACGTAAGCAAAACTGTCATGAATAGCTTCCGTTCATGTTAGCTTGCTTACTGTTGTGAAGCTGTGATTTGGTCCACAGCTATCACATGGTACCTGGTACCCTATTCATTGTGACTTGTTATAGCTATTCGCAGCATTACAATAAAAAGTAAGCTGTCATGATTGAGAGCCATTCATCACAGTTACAACTATTGCTTATAACAGTGATCATGACTGTTATAAGTAATAAAACTGTAAAGGAAAAAAAATCCCCTATCCCCCTCCCTTCATCTTAGAGTAGTACAGTGTCACTATGCTGTCTTCTATCAAAATAGGGGTCATTTGGGGGATATGTGTACTGTCCTGCCAGTCAGAGGATTGATCAATTATCAAATATATACCCTAGTTTGTAGATTCTATAACTTTCACACAGACTAAATAATATACATTGTTTTGGGTTATTTGTTACCATAGAAACATAGCAGAATACATTTTGGCCTAAATTTATGAAGAAAGATTATTTGTTTGCAAAATTTTATAACAAACTAAGAAAACATTTTTTTTATTTATTTTTATTTATGTTGCAAAAAGGAAACCTAATTAAAGTGGTAATTAAATACCACCAAAAAAAGCTCTGTTTTTGTGAAAAAAAATTATACAGATTTCATTTGTGTACAGTGTTGCATGTGCAATTGCCAGTTAAAATAGTGCAGTGCTGAATAGCAAACAATGCCCTGCTCGTGAAGGGGTTACAATTTTCCAGTGGTTAAAGAGCCTGGTTGGCTGATATGCCAAATGAATAGGTCCATAGCAGAATTTTAAAAATTGCTGTGGTCCACAGAATATATACAGGTTTGGGAGCTGAAGGGGTTAAATAGAAACCCCATTAATTACTGTGTGGCTAGTTCTCTGCACTGCAGCTTAATGCCTTTTTAACAAAAAATAAAAACAAAACGAAAAAAAAAAAAAGCATAGCATTTTGTGGGTGTATATGTACTTAATGCAGATCTATTGAAATGAGCAGCAAATGCAAAAATGTGCATATGACATGTATGAATACTGTGTGCCACTACATATGTATGCGTGGGGGAGGGTCATAACCCCCTCTTGGGCTATATGGAATTATCCAGCAAGCTGCTCTTCCTTTTTATTATTGATGTATTACTATTTTATTATTGAATTACAGAGCCTTGCATCACTTGTCACACAGTATGCTGTCATAGCTGGCTATGAATTGCAGTACCTAACGGACACCTGCAGGTCATATATAACTATTCACTCTCTTTGTTTTCCAGCCAGGGAGAACTTAAAGCCATTTACCATACCGCCTGACATCCCGTACAACATGCGCACCACACTGCTCCCACCACAGTGTCCGAGGGTAAGTGACCTACCTTGCATTAGTTTAAGTTTCAGTTGCACAGTGACTGTCATGAAAGTAGATCTAAAGGCAAAACATTTTTTTTTCTCATTTTGGATAGAATAATGGGAGGTTATAATGTCCCCCCCCCCCCCCCAGATGTGTCCCATTGGGTAGATATACGTTCACTTCCTGTCCTATAGCCAAAACAGGAAGTGAGAGAAAACCCCTCCAAAGTGACCACCTTCCCCACTGAAAGTTTCCCCTTTATTCCTGTTCTAGGAACAGGATTTACTTTCAGTGATAATTGTAAACATAACAAAGAGAGATTGATCTACAGCACTTTATTAAGGGTTAAAAAATTACATGTTATACTCAAATCACAAT